TTTTGGTGGTTTACTCCCTTTAGGGTTTGCTCAGCTTCTTGTATCTATAGGTTTATATCTTTCACTGAATTTGGAAAATTTTCAGCCATTATTTCAGCCCTGCTCTTTCTCCTTTCTTGAACTTCAAATATATGAATGGTTTTTAAATTTAAATTTAATTATTTTTTATTACACAAGTCCCTCATGCTTGATTTTTTGTTTTGTTTTGTTTTCTCCTTTTATAAGACTGGGTAAATTCAATTTATATATCCTCAAGTTCACTGATTCTCTTATCTGTTATCTCCATTCCACTAGGAGCTCATCCAGTGAGTTTTTTGTTTCTCTTCTGTTATTGTTACTGGTGGAGGAGATCCAAGTTATCCCAAGTTACCAGTGGCATATTCGAATGGGTCTGCAGCAACTTCAGTCCTCCTCAGTAGAAATAATTTGACTGAGGGGCACAAAGCAGAAGAGACTAAGGCAAGTTTCAGAGCAGGAGTGGAAGTTTATTTAAAAAGCTTTAGAACAGTAAGGAAAAAAAGGAAAGGAAAGAAGGAAAGTACAACTTAGAAGACAGCCAAGTGGGCGACTTGAGAAACCAAGTGCACAGCTTGACCTCTTGACTTGGGGCTTTATATGCTGCCATACTTCCAGGATCTTATTGGGAAGCTGCTGATCAGTTTTAGGTGTTTTCTATCTATTAGGAGAATGCCTTTCCCTGGCACTGGCTATGAACAATTATTACTTTAGAGAAACTGTTAACCACCTGACCATCAGCTGAAGGTCACCCAACACTCCTGGTGTGTGTGTGGTGGGGAGCCCTGTTCTGCCCTGCTCATACCTGATTAGTTACCTACTGTAACATTATTGTATCTTTCACCTTTCCATTTCAGTTGGTTCTTTTTTTGTTTGTTTTTTGAGTCAAGGCCTCACTCTGTCACCCAGGCTGGAGTGTAGTGATGCGATATCACGGCTCACTGTAGCCTCAACCTCCTCAGCTCAAGTGATCCTCCCACCACAGCTTCCTGAGTGGCTAGGACTACAGGCTCACACCAACATGCCCAGTTAATTTTTGTATTTTCTGTAGAGAAGGGGGGTTTTGCCATGTTGCTCAGGCTGGTCTCAAACTCCTGGGCTCAAGCAATCTACCCGCCTCGGCCTCCCAAAGTGCTGGGACCATGCCCCACTTTCATTTGTGTGTGTGTCTGTGTGTGTGTGTTTTGATGGAGTCTTGTTCTGTCGCCCAGGCTGGAGAGCAGTGGCATGATCTTGGCTCACTGCAACATCTGCCTCTCGGGTTCAAGCAAATCTGTCTCAGCCTCCTGAGTAGCTGGGACTACAGGTGCACACCATCACACCCAGCTAATTTTCGTACTTTTAGTAGAGATGGGGTTTCACCATATTGGTCAGGCTGGTCTCTAACTCCTGATCTCAGGTGATCCACCCGCCTTGGCCTCCCAAAGTGCTGGGATTATAGGTGTGAGTCACAGCGCCTAGCCTCATTTAGTTCTGTTTAAAAATAACTTTTATTTCTTTGCTGAAATTTTCCAATTTTTCACCTGTTTCAAATGATTTTTTATTCCTTTTTGAATCCTTTTTATGATGGCAGTTTTAAAATCCTAGTAATTCCAACATCTGATTTATCTCAGTGTTGACGTTACTTGATTGTCTTTTCTTACTTAAATTGTGAGTCTTCTATTATATCCTGGACATTTTGTTTATTATGTTAGGAGACTCTATTTAAACTTTCTATTTTAGCAGGCACTCATCTCGTTTAGCTTTAGCATGCAGATCCTCTCCTACTTTTGTCAGCTATCATTCCAGTGAAGTTTGGTTTCTGAAAGCTTTTTGGTGCTGTTTTGGTCTGATTGGTTTGTCTGCTGCCACTGGGGCTCCTCCTGTTTTCTGCTTGTGCTGCCTGAGGGGAGCAGACATGGTTTCCCTAGGCCTGTTGCCCAGGGTCTCTTAGTTGGTCATGGAACTTTCAGGCTTGCAATGACAAAGAGGCTTCCCTGCCTAGTCCCTGGTTTTGACAGGGTCCCCATCTGCCTGTGGAGATGAAGTAGTCGTCCTGGGATGAGCACTTGTGGCAGGGCCTCTTTTGCTGATGTCTCCTGCTGCCCATGTCTCTGAGTAGGGAAGGGTAGAGACGGAGAGCCCTTTGTCTGGCTGCTTATTGTTAGTGGGGAATGAGGGAGGTCTTGATGTCTTGATTAATCCCTCTCGATGATGCTGTCAGGCTCACCTCTTGTTGGAGGGAATCCTGCTTGATCTAGGGGAGGAATAAGCCTACCTGGGCTGCCTTCTCTTGTTAGGTTGGTGGTCAAGAAATACCCAGCCTGGACTGCCACTTTGTTGGGTGACAGGACATAAAACATCTTGCTGCTGTGTTTTTACTCTAGCCCTGGGATCCCAAAACAGCTCTCCTTCATACCACCTTTCAGAGTTCTCCTTTGGTTGCCACTTGTGTTATTTCCAGGCCTTATGGTTGTACTTAGTGGGAAGGAATAGTGAGAAATGAATCTACACTGTCTTGTCTGTACTGGAAGTCCAATCAATCAATAGGGTTTTAGAGTATGAAATTCTCAAGATAGACAATATTTTAGTCTTATGTTTCAGTAGCCTCCATACTAGCTTGTTGACTTTGAACAGGACTTCAGTTATGTCATCCACACAAAATATATTTAAAGCTCCCAGCCCAAGACCGGGCACGGATGAACCACTCAATAGGTATTCAGTCTTTTCCTAGAAATCATCTAGTTCAAACCACCTGTCTTAAATATAAGGTAACAGAGGCCTAGAGAAACAAGGTAGCCTTTCAAATGTGCTGTGCCTTACATATACCCAAGTAGCATTTTCCCCTGAAAGGCCAAAAGCATACTCCATTCATTCTTGATTTTGTTCCTTACTTCTAGAGGTAGTTCTAGTTCAGTTGGACACGATTTGAAGATTGAAACTAATCATACCAATTTGTATTTGAAAAGTACTTCCAAATTTGCAAAGTGCTTTTGCAGTAACAATTTCCCTTGGTTGTCATAATCACAGCATGAGTCTGGCAGGGTAGAGATTATTCCTGTTTTGCAAATAAGGAAGCACAGTAAGTCAGAGGGCTGACAAATCCAGAAGCGCTTTCTCATTTAGGGGCTTCCTTTGACACCATCTCTCCTGTGAAACTAAGCCTTTACTGAATGACAGGAGGCTGTGAACATAGTTGATTTCAGAGTGCCCAGCTTGCCACACCCTCAGCCACAGCTAACACAGTGCATTACCTTGGGACTACAGAGTGAATAAATTCCAAGATCAGGCTTATGTTCTATACATAGTACCATGAAAATTTGGAGCTCAAATTACCCTTAGAGTTTGATATGGTTTGGATCTGTGTTCTAACCCAAATCTCATGTTCAATTGTAAGCCCAGTACTAGAGGTGGAGATCCTTCATTAATGGTTTAGCATCATCCACTTGGTGTTGTTCTCCTGATAGTGAGTTCTTGTGGGATCTGGTTGTTTAAAAGTGTGTAGCACCTTCCTCTTCACTCTCCTGCTCCTGCTCCTGCCATGTGAGATGCCTCACTTCCACTTTGCCTTATGCTCTGATTGTAAGTTTTCCCAAGGCCTCCTCAGAAGCCAAGCAGATGCCAGCATCATGCTTCCTGGACAGCCTGCAGACCTGTGAGCCAATTAAACCTCTTTTCTTGATAGATTACCTACTCTCAGGTATTTCTTTATAGCAATGGGAGAAAGCACTAATACAGAGTTTGTTTGTTAAAAAAAAAAAACGCAAAACTCCTACCAGAATAGATGAAATTACCCATCTGTATAGGTCACCTCAGGGAAGGTGGTTACCTCAAATTAGAAAGCAGGTTGCTGAATTCTAACCAAGGAAAATAGGGTATAGCTCAGAAAGGCAAGATTGAAATTTGATATAGAAGAAGGCTGTAGCGTGTTTGACAATAGGAGCCTGATTGAATAAACTATAGCTCATATAGTGAGATACTATGTGGCCGTTAAAATAGCAAAATAAACCTCTATTTATAGAAATGGAAAGATGTTCAAAATTAAGTGAGACTATTACATAAGAGTGAACAGTACAGTCCTATTTTGTTCTCTGCATGTAGATTTCTCTCTGCATAGAAAAATTATGATGTGTTCTTTTTTGGTTGTCTATATTTTAAAAACATTATACAATGAACAAAGATTTGTTGGTTAATTCAGCATAATATATATTGGAATCTGACTGTACATAGACATTATGTGAAGAGTAGGAAGGGGCTGAATGGAGGTGAAAAAAGAGGCATAAGAGTGAGAACTTGTCAGTGTAATCAGCAGCATCAGGGCTGAAGGTAGGACGAGGCTGACTAATGCTTTTTGACTTTTTTATGTGCCAGGGACTTTACCAGGTGGTACTTTACATGTTAGCTCTGTTAACTTGCATAACGACCCTGTGTGGTAGGTACAATTATCATTCCCATTTTATAGATAAGACGTCTGAGGCTGAGAGAGAGAAAATGACTTGCCCAAAACCACTGGGCTAGTGAATGGCAGAGACAGGACTAGAACCCAGGTCCCTCTGTGTTCCACCCACTGGAGGCCCAGATCACGTAGTCCCCAGAGAGGGAAGCTCTTTTGAGGACTGGAGGAATAACCTCCAAATTCATGAGTGAGGTTGCTGGGAGAGGGGGTGGTGGGGGCAGGAGAGAAGGCCCTGAAAGGGGATGAAGAGCTTGGTCCGTAAACAGGTCTGTCCCCAATGTGAACGGACAAACTGATATACTGTCAGCACTCTTTTGTGAGTTAAGTTGGTGTCAGTCTTGCCCTCACAGCTGGTCACTGACAGTGCTCTTCAGAACCAGGTGCCCGGATACCTTTCTTGTCTTATTTTAACATCAACAGAGTATTTTAACCTATGTGCAGATTCTGTCTTTGTAAAGTGGTTCATCTGTTGAGGCTAGGTCAGTGTACCATTTTTGGAGGTATGCCATCTTTTCTTTTATTTGTAGCTAATACACAGGAACCTCACACATGCAAAAGACTGAAGGTTTTTAATTTTGGATAAAAAACACTGTATCGTCCAAACATTTACAAACTGTAACATAACTGCAGTAGAGGGCCAATGGGCTCTGTGGCACTGGACAAAACAACTGGCAGTGAACATCGTCACTGGGTCACACATCCATATCGCAGTGGTGTGACAGGCTTAAGATAACACATAACAGGGGATTAAAGTCAATCATTCACGCTGTTGTACCTTGGCAAGATCAGACTTGAGCTGCTGTGACAGTGTCAGTCTGTAAACCTGGAGCTAATAAAAAGTCAGGTTCTCAAAGAACCTATATAGTTCAATTCTGAATTATACATCAGTTGCATATCTTCATGCAGGTATGTGGCTGACATTAATGTATTACAGATAACACTGGTCATATACTTGAATCTTACTTTTAAAGCTGCCTGATAATATATCCCAGAGAAAAGGCCAATTGCTTCACTTTGGTTTGTATCTCTGGCTTGGCATGTCCCAAAGTACTCATTAAACTTAGCTGGACAATATCAAAGTAAGAGGCTTAGCACTAAAAGAGTTTCTAATTTCTTGGACAAATCCTCTTCATCTGAATGCCCAAATAACCTATGAGACCAGATGATACTAAAGTTCTAGTACACACACACACACACACACACACACACACACACACACACACACACAGCTACACTATGAGCTATATTCCAAAAGGACTGAACTTGTTAGCTGTTCCTATGCCACAGGCATTGTCAAACTATAATATACAACATGCTCTGTTTCAGAAGTAGAATATGTGCTCTGCATTCTCATTGGCATTCACAAAATGAAGAAACCACCCTGTCTGCAAATGCAAGTGAAGTGGAGACTTGGAGACACTTTATGTGAACTGGTATGGCCAAATGCATGTGAAGTGGGACCAGAAGATAAGGGTCTTTGAACAATGATTATTTATGATTTTGGTGCATGTTTCTCACCTGACAGGTGAGAAATCCAATGTTGCTTCAGCAAAAGAAGCAAAAGAAAGCTAAGGACTGATCTGCCTCAGGGACATGTTAAGGGGAGAGAATACCACCCATCATCCTTCACTCTCTAGAAGAAGAGAAAACCCAGGACTACATATCACAACAGAAAAATGTTGACAAAGAAAATACACAACTCATAGCATTCTTAAGGAGAGTTTCTACCAGTGTAAAAGCCTTAAAAAGAAAATATAGTAGTCTCAGTACCACTTGGAAAAGACTTTTGGACCTTATTGTGAACAATTTAATCTCAAGGAGCACATGAAATTTTAAATAACTGGAATGCTGATAATCATGGATAGGTATATACTCTTTTTGTTGAACTGGCCAGGTATGTTTCTGTATTATTCTCTTCCCCCGACCCTTCCCACCTCCTTCTCCACAACTGGGATTCTGTAAGGGCTGATGTAGAGCCCTCTAAAAAGTTAAGTATGAAACCATGAAAATGGTTGAAAGGTTAACAAAGCTGTGGAAGAGAAAAAAGCTTTCAGGTTACCCCCAATGCTTCAAAAAGCACCAAGAGACAGGACACCAGACTTAACATGGAAGCCATTGGTTTCACACATGCCAACTTCTCAGCATATGTTTGTTCAGTTTCTGCAAGACTCATGGGTCTAAATGAGACAGCTGTTTTCAAAGCACACTTCTCTTTTGTGAAAACAGTCACAAATCACAGAGAATGTAACATGCTTTTACTTGCATTGACATGTAAAGGAGACATGGGCTGCCAAGACTGGTGACAATACTAGTACTTCCTATTTCAGGGGAAGGCAGGGAATCAGAGAAGATGTTTTATAGGGCTTGAAAAGCACATTTTGCGTTTTTGTTTTTTGCTTTGGAAAAGTTTCTATGCCACCATCAAATACTCTGAAATCACAACTGCCTTTAAAAGGACGAGAAAACGAGTCCGTTATGACCTCACATCTTTCCATTTGTCTGTTACTGCCTGACACCTCAACCATTTCTTCACAGTATATTAAAACAAAAACAAAAACAAAAACATAGGAACAGCATGTAAGGCTTAAGCCTTCTCTTTTTGTTTTTAAATGTGTACATCAAAAGGAAGGTTTTGATTTGGCACTTAGAATAAAGCAATCAGACTTGGTTGGAATCATATCTGCCTGTATCATACAAACAATTCTGAGAGTGAGATGCCTGAAGGTGAGGTAAAAATTTAGTTTAGAGATCACTAAATCATAAACATTGGAAAGTAATAAAGTGAGAATTATCTTCCTAGGTATAAACCAATCTGGAGTACAGTAAGCCCCTTTTGAGAGGGATATTTTAATGTAAAGGTAATTTACGTTACCCTACACAATTGTTTAGAAAAAGTACACTTAATAAAATACGCTCATAGAAAGATTTCCCAATAGTATATCAAAGCCTAATTAGCATCAAGAAGAGTTGGGTGTTTAATAAAAGCCAGTATGTAACAAAGAACTAACATGATCATCTTTAGTTATTAAACTTCTCTTTCTACTAAATTAAGGCCAAGCTTAAATAGTTACCAATTAGGTTTGAAAAGCACCTCTTAAAAAGACTTGGATTCCTTTTTGGCTGGAAGTGTTCTGAGAAAGGTCTCACTTCCAGTGAAGTGTGAGGGGTATCTCAGACAAAAGGTGTTTCATGTATGTTGGCAGGCAATGACAACTGACTTGCTGGTAAATGAACATAATTTCTAAGGGTACTTTCCAAAGATACACATGTCTAATATATTCACCATAAGCTTTAGATTCTTTTAATTAGTTCTATATAGAGTTTCAGGTTTTCTTTCATAGAGCAAACCTTATTAGTGAATTTCTTCTTTAAAAAGTCAAACTGTTAGCTGTTATTTAAGTTTGTTATTTAAAATTGTTTTATTTATTACTGTGATAAATCTGTCATTCCATAAACTAAGTAAATAATTAATGCATTTTTAAAACGGTGGCCATGGTAGACTCTGAGCATGGCCACAAGCACAGGGACAGAGCCTGCCTCATGCTTAGAAAAGATAAGCAGTAACCCCAGGCCTGTGAAACTTGTGTAGAAAGCAGGCAGAGGTCAGATTAGTGGATGACAGTGGCAGGTGGTTAAATGCCTTCCTATTTAAGTAGAGTAGTCACATGAGAATGGAATTTCTGCTTGGGGAACTGGAAAGGTAGGACAGTGGGGGAAGGGAGTCACATTTCTTTCACAGGATAGGTGCTATATCAGAGTATGAAGTGAAAGCCATTAATAGATCATCTTTTCTAGTACTCCTGGCAACTTACCTTCAAGAGTCTCCTCACTATTGCTGGGCTCCTACCTATAGATAGCTAATCTGCTTTTAATAGTGTATAAATACCTGGATTCCATCTTTTTCTTCTCAGATTTTAATTTTTTATTTATTTATTTATTTATTTATTTTCCTATCTTGAACGCTTTGTTCTTCTTCTTTTTTTTTTTTCCATGGTGAACAGGTTTTATTTAGATAGAGTTTTCATGGCAAAGGGAAACAAAAGATATGGATAAACAAAATCTTTTCCCTAATACATAGTTCAGGTAACATTTTCTAATGTCTCATCTCTTGTTCCAACCAAACCACTGCAGAACATCTAAAAGTACAGCATCTGAATCCATAAATTTCCAATCTCATTCCTGGGGAAAGTGTAGAGTAGTAGCTGGTATTATTGGAACATATTAAAAATTTTGGGATTTTGTCACTGTGGGAGAAATGACTTTTCCAACTCTCTTTTGCCATTCAGGTCTTCAACAATGACCTGCCTCTCAAATATTCCTCTCCAGCTGAAGTTACCCAACCTTCTAAGACAACTAATTAGCCAAGGACCAATCACCTGAGGGCTAAAGTAATTATCAAGACTATATCAACTTGTTCCATGTATTAAATTAGATCACTGGAAAGCTACAGATCCCAAGTTACGGCCTTCTCACTGCATGACTTAATACTCTGTTGTTGAATTTTGAAGTTTAATGGTAAAGGTACAGCCATATGGAAAACATTGCATAAAACAACTGTGACATATAACTGCTTAGTAGATAATCGGATGTCAAGAATATTAAGATATAAGAATTGTTGAAAGACAATACCTTAAAACTTTTTTTTTCTAACGAGCTGGTACAAACCTTGTCTTAAGTAATGCAATCCATGTAACTCCTTACATTTCTTCTTTTGTCTTATTTTCTAATATTAACTGCAATTGCAGCAATCATCTTTACCTTAATTTTTCTGGAACACATATTTTACCCAACTGTTACTTGTATTAATTCTTATTTTAATGGTTCTTTTATATTTTTATTGGTTTTGATGAAGCCAGATCAAATCTAATTTGGATTTAGAAAGGTATAAATAATAGATAAAACCTGCCTACTTTCTTCTATGTTGTCTTTGAAAGTTGATGGAGGGTTATTTTTTGAATTAGAGTATTTTTCACATCAGGAAAACAAAATTAGCTAGGTGTCTAGGTTAGGATGGGGTATCATGGGTATAGCAGAGAAAGAATGGAATAGTTCACTCTAACTTACGCAGAGAATGCAAATAGTTCACTCTAACTTAGGCCAAGATTGATTTTCTGAAATGGCTTTGGAAATATGCTACCTTTCCAACACTATAGCTCCCTCTTCGGCATTGAAAAGTCTTAGGTTAACTTTATAAAAAGGTGACTTATACTCCTGGTTTAACAACAGCCTGTATATATATATATCTTTTAGGATTACTTTGCAGATGGGACATAGGTAAAAAAGCATGGACTGAAGTGAGAAGATGAATGACAAGGGTGTGAACCCTCAGGCACCATTATTTTAGACGGTCTTTCAGTGATCAGTGACTATGATGAGGAAACAGTCTTAGCAGTGAGAGAGGTCTTAGAGAAGATTTAGGTTCTCTTGTTTCTTTTGTGTGTGTGTGTGTGTGTGTGTGTGTGTGTGTGTGTGTGATAGAGTTTTGCTCCTGTCACCCAGGCTGGAGTGCAGTAGCGTGGTCTCGACTCACTGCAACCTCCGCCTCTGGGGTTCAGCGCTTCTTGTGCCTCAGCCTCCTAAGTGGCTGGGATTACGGGCATCCACCACCACGCCTGGCTAATTTTTATATTTTAATAGAGACAAGGTTTCACCATGTTGGCCAAGCTGGTCTCCAACTCCTGACCTCAGGTGATCCACCCGCCTCGGCCTCCCAAAATGCTGGGATTACAGGCGTGAGCTACTACGCTTGGCCTAGGTTCTCCTGTTTCTCTTTCTTCCTTTGCGGCCAGGCTCTTCTCAGATTTTTAAATCCAACTGTAAAACCAAAAGGTGTTTTGTGTTGAGAATAAATAGGTGATTTTCATGCAGTCTTTTTTTTTTAAGTTCTGTATATTTTATATGTAAGTAATAATGTGGCATGTTAGGGAATAAAGATATCAAAGACCAAACAAACTGGCCTCACAGATTTTGAGACTGAAATCAATCCCATGGCCTTAGATAATTAACAAAATAATCCAGTCTTTTAAAAATGCTGTTTTCACCTTTGGAAATACCAGAGTTGTGGTTTACTACTTCTAGTATAGAATTATATTGAAAAGACCTTCCTTTCACTATTGATTAATTTTGTTTTTGATCTAAGAAATAAGATTAGGTACTATGTACTGTACCTGTACAGATCTTTAGGAATAAATCAAGACTCTTCAGTCTTTTATAGAATTTGCAAAAACTACTACATCTTGTCATTTACCTTTTTACTTTCTTCTCTGAAAACACACTCTATCCAGAACATCATGCTAATTAATAAACTGCAAAATGCAGATTGAGATATGGGAGAAAGATCTGGGAGCAAGATCCAGAATGGCTCACTGGTGGCAGATTGGTACCGTCATCCTTTTTGGCAACTTCCTTCACAAAGCCAGGAGTAGATGTAGCCTCCAGATCAAAATGGTGTGCACAAACCCCATTTTTTTTTTCCAAAAGAAGTCAAATGACAACTGGCAATATCTGATGATTTAGGTTATATAAAGCAAGGACTAAATCATGGAAAGAGGAGGACCAGCGAGATAAAAAAAGGAAATCATCTTGATGCTTTAAAATTATAGGATCAAGGTAGCTATCAAGAACATGTAAGTAAAATATGGCCTTTATTTATTAATGGGGAAGACCCAAATAAATTAAGAGTTCTTTAAAAACAAAAAATTAAAAATTTACCAAGAGGAAGTAAATAGAAAAATGACTCCTGTTTACATATAAAAAAAGACAACCAAGATGATTTAGAGTTCTTCCACTAAAGAGGATATTTTGGGTCTACAGTTTAGCTAGGGATAAGAAATCAAGGAGCTATCCTGGCACTCCTCTCCTACATTTAAATTAAACCCTTAAAAGGTTCCTCTTTCTCTCAAAGAAAAGCACCTAATGAGGTAATCCTTTAGATATTTCTACGTGCACAACTGGATGTGATAATCAAGGGATGCCTCTTTAAGTCATCTAATTTTTTAGCTTAAGCCAAATATAGAGTATTTGGAACAGATATTTTGGGTGAGGACCTGGATTCTGTTGGTATTAAGAGTTCTGGAATTGCTGAGAATATACAGAGCATGACCTAAACTGACTGAGGCCTATCCTACTCTCAGTATGTGGAAGTAGCAAAATCATGACTGAATATCCAATAGGACAGATGAAAAACCCATCAAGTATATCAACCCCTAGGAGAAAAGCTGGTGTTTAAATAAAAATACATCCCTTTCCCCAGGAGTATCTGGATCTGCTATCAGAATGGACTTTTTTCAAAACTGTACATTAGCACAAGGTGATAAACCTACCAGATTTAAAAGTAGTGCCAATTGTGTCTAAAAAATCCACAAACCTCATGAGATATCTAGATAAGCAAAACCATTTGTCTTCATAAAAAGACCTAAAAAGGGTCCTATTTTCCACAAAACCAGATGGGCACACAGACCATGTCTCAGTCTGAGTCTGAAGCACTGAGATTTTCAGTTACTTCCTGAACTGATGCAATTAATGTTACTAATTCAAACCCCATTAATTTGAAATTTATAATTTTAGACTGTAGTGGATTCAAATTTACCTATGGACTATCTATGAAAAAGGGAATTGGCTAAGTATTATAACAAGACCTAGCTGGCGTGTGGGTTGGGGAAAGCATGTGTTGTAACTTAAGAAAACTTTCCTTATATATTTCAAACCACCAAGCACTCATGCACTCATGCTAACAATTAAGCATCATTTTGATTTCCTTTTCAGGAAAACATTATATGTCTCCATTGGCAATAATGTTAGCTAATATCCCATGACTAAGCATACCTGAAAGTAAGATTTTCTTTTAATATATTCTGCAATTCAGTTACCTACTGTATACCATCTCTCCATACCCTCAAAAGGGTCATTATTGACCACTGTGACAATATTTCCACTTCACTCTCACATTACAGCAGTTAGGATAGAAAATAGGGGCGGTCGATCATTAAGGAAAACAGACAGTAGAACCAGCTTAATATGTGTCTCACCTGAGAGGCAACATTTCTATAGTTAAATCCCATTTTAGAACAATAACATATTCTTTCTCTTGCCTACACTCTGTACTGCTTAATATGAACATATTGGTCACTTAATCAGTAAAGTAATTCCCTTCCAGACTTAAGTGGGGAGAGGGATGCCTTGGCTTCGCTCACTTAAACCAATTGGAAAAGCAGCATAGCCCTCTCTGGGACAAGAATCATTGTAGCTGCTGTAGGTATACCTAGCATGGAAGATGAGTAACTAACTCACTGATGCTTGGAGTAGTCTGCCTCCTTGGTGCTGGCCTTGGAGATGCCTGTGTCCCCCAAGATGCCCATGTCCCCAGAGAAACCCCTGGCCTCAGAAATACCCATGTTTCCAGATATGTCAGTGGCCTCAGAGATATCCATGGCCCCACAGATTCCTAAGTCTTCGGAGAAGCCCATAGTCTCAAAGGTGCTCATGTCTCCAGAGATGCCCATGGCCTCAGAGATGCCTGTCCCTCCAGAGATGCCCACATCCCCAGAGATATTTATGGCCCTAAGGCTGCTCACAATCTCACAATGGTTATGGTGGAGGTCTGCACACTGGCTTTTTACTTGATCCATCTGAGCTCGGAGGCCTCCTTCCCTGGAGAGGGTGCCATTCTCCATCAAGGTATTCAGGTCTCCATCGATACCCATGAAGCCAAGAGGATTGGTCAAAGGACTTCCCAGATGCTGGGATAATAAGTTTCCTAATTGAGTGCAGGTACAGATCTCTTCTGGTGGCTCATCACGGGCTTTTAGTTTCTGCCTCAGGAGCAAGAAAGGGTTAAGAAGAATTAGAAACAGGAGAAAAACTAGGCAAACATCACCTTGATCTGCAGAGATCCTATTGCTGTCACTTATAATGGTAGCAAATGACCTTTTGCTCGACCCCTCCCCCACAACATCTTTCCCTCATCACATGCCATAGTACTTTAGAAGCCCTACCATTGAAGAATCTCAAAGGTCTTATATCTATAAAAGTCCTCTTTTATGATAAGTGCAATTTTGTTCATGGGATGGGGAGAGGGCGGGGGAATAGATCACTAATATTTATTGAATACTTCTATGTGCTAGGCACTTTACACACAGTATTTCTGTTTATCCTTATAATAAACCTATTAGTTTAGGTATTAGCTATATTTTACAGATGAAGAAACTGAGGCTGAGAGAAGTTAAGTAAGTCACCCAAATTTGCATATGTACGAAGTAAACAACTAGGATCTGACCCTGCATCTACCTAATGCCAAAGTCTATGACCTGTCATCTACCTCATGCTACCTCTAACAGATATTTTCACTTTCAGAGATAATATAATGATTCACTGATACTTTACAACAGTGATTCTTTGGGGTCATAAGTCCCCATTGAAAACGTGATGAAAATTATGGACCTTCTCTTCAGAAAAATGCATACATTTTTCTGAAGGTGATGGGGGGAGTCTTTTAAATTTTCATTTTGTACCTTATTATATTCTGTATTTTCTAACTTTACACTTATATTGTCTTTTAAAAAAAGTAAACAGGGTTATCTGGGTGATACTATCAGCCATTTTTGTTTTTCTGCTCTGTATTAAAAAAAGAAAGTTAATAACACACATACATAACAACACATACACACTTCAAAAAGAAGTCTTTCCAGAGTGATCTGAGTCTATGTGAAATGAATCTGATTCTCTCTCAGGAGTCAGGCAGGGATAAGTGAGAGGGCTGGGTCAAGAATAGGGCACCTTCCCTGAGGGCCTTGTGGAAGAATCTGCTAGTAGCTAAAAGAGGAGCCCTAAGAAGAAGTTTCTCTACTACATCTAATCTACTGAAGACTGGGCCTTCTCGGGGATGCATGCTTCCTACGATTTTAAGTTATGCTTTAGTTCGCCCTCCCACCTTTTTTTCAAATGGAACCAAGTAACTGGCTGTTGCCTCCCAAGAGGACATTAAAAAGGTTGGGATCTGATGTAATCACAACACATTTATTTTCACAATAAAATGACATTTGTTTACTTACAGGAAGCAGAAAAGCTATGCCTTATCTGGCTTAAAGTGGGTTCACATCCAGTTCCTAAATAGCACACCATTTCCAATAATTCTTTTCTAAGAGGTACCTTTCCCCTGTCCTTCAAACAAACCCTTAGGGATCCCTACATTTCATAAGCAGCTCAGTTTATGAAATCAACAAGAAATAATTTTTGAGTTCTGTAACCTGTAATTAAAAAACAAGTGTCCAACATGGTCACTCAATAAGCTGAGTTTCCAGTCTACATGGGAAGGAAATAAGAACCTTCTTTTATAAGATTTTTAATTGGAAAACAGCAATTGCACTGTTCTTATCAGTATACCCAAGATGTTATATTTATTCTCTTGATGGATAACAAATGCTATGTGATTTCCCTAGTCATTCCCTCTTGTTCCTCCTACTCATTCCATCCAGATCCAAAAAGAGATAAAGAGAACAACTTTACTTGTTTATCTAGTTGAGTGACATATTTACCACATTTTGGGAAGTAAGAAAAGGAGTTATGCTGAAAGCTTTGTAGACACGGGACACATGAAAAGCCAAAGAGTATAAAAAAGCCAGTCAGGGAGCTTTCCACAAGTATCAATTCAACTCCAAGCAGGCTGGACCTACCCAGAATGGGCAAGAAGATCTCTCTTTGGGACTTTTCTCCTCACCTTTTCTAGTTCATGCACATCTGTCTCCAGCATTGCTCTCTGTTTCTTAATTTCCAGGAGGTTCTCTAGTATACTCTGCTTGGCCTGCAGCCCTTTGTCAAAGCGGTTATACATCCCACACCAGAACCTCAAATAGACAAAAAGGGTGGGGGGGGGGGAAGTGGGTTAGTTTAGCGGGAGTGATTGATTACCAATGTTTTCCTTGTGCCAAGAAAATATTAGCCTAGTAGGTGGGAAGATCTCATGAGTACTGTAATTTGATGACATTAAAAAGAATGGACATGCTCATAATTGGAAAGAGTAAAGATACCAGCAGAAAAATCTCAGGTGAAGGAGACACTTTAGACTTTAGCAAACTTGAGGTTCTTTTAAACAATCAAATTATGCTTTTACTTTGAGATAATTATAGACTCACATGTAGTTTTATGAAATAATAAGGGAGAGGAGTGACATCACCAAGATGGCAGAATAGGAAGCCCTGGACTCTCCTTCCCCCAATGGATACACTAATTTAATTGCAACACAAGGATCAATTCCCTTTATGAGAAATCCAGCAACTCATGGAGAGGCTTCTGCAGCCTGGATAAGTATGAAACCAACCAGATTGTAAATAAAACATCTGTAGAAAAAGCAGAAACATCCGCTCATCATAATCCCTACTCCCAGCACAGTGCCACAGGATCAGGAGGAAACCCCCATTCCCAGCTTCTACCTCAGAATGGAAGAAGCTGGACTGCACATCTAACATCCCAACTTCTCCAGGTGCCACCTGAAAGACCGGCTTCTTTCTCACCTATTTCAAAGAGTTGAAAGGGTCTGGCATGTGATAGTGTCCGGAGGGCTACAGAGAAGAAAGTGGCAGTTTCAACTAGCATGTAGGCATGTACCACAGCTCCTGTACCTGGCTCAACACAGGGTAGGGGGAAAATCCCAGTTCCCAGCTTCTCCCTGGGAAGGGGAAAAGTTGGAACATGCACCCAGCATTCTAAATTCTCCAGGATCTACCAAGGGAATGGCTTTTGTGCCACCTGCCTAGGAGCATTGATGAAACTGGACATACTCTGGATGCCTGGGGGACACTAATAACAAAGACAGCAGTTTAAACTAGGACAATGGGTTGAAAGGCCCACAGAAGCTCTGGCTTGGTTGGCTGGTGAATGTCTTCTCCTATACAAGGCCAATTCATATGACTGGGAGTGATGGTGGATTTTTCTAATGTGGAGAAAAAGGGTAACACAATCTGAACAAAGAAAGAAGCTAAAACTCCAGAAAGTGACTCTAATGAAAATATATGAATGACCCGACATAGAACTCAAAGTATCCCTCATGGAAAATCTCAACAAGCTCAGGAGAACAATCCATAAACAAAGTGAAAATTTCAACAAAGAGACAGAAAATGTAAAAGAATAGGCAGATGTCTTAAAGCTGAAGAATACAATAACTGAAGTAAAGAATCCAATAGAGGAGTTCAACAACAGACTAGAGCAAGCAGAAAAAAGACTAAGCAGACTCAAACACAGATTATTTGTCATTATCCAGTCAGAGGGACACAAAGCAAAAAGAATAAAAAAATAAATAAAATAGCTTAAGGGACCTATGGGACACCATTAATTAGCAGACCAATATATGCATTATGGGAGTCCCAAGAGAAGATAGGAAGGACTAGAAATCTTATTTAAAGAAATAATGACTGAAAACTCTCTAAATCTGGGGTAGGAAATGGATATCCAGATCTAGGAAGCCAAAATGACCCAAATACGATGAATCTAAAGAAATCCACACTGAGACATATGATAATCAAATTGTCAAAAGTCAAAAACAGAATTTTGAAAGCAGTAAGATAAAACCAACTTGTCATATGCAGGAAAATCCATTAGGACCATCAGCAGACATCTCAGCAAAAAAACCTTTCAGGTCAGAATAGAGTAGAGAGTGGGATAATATATTCAAAGAGCTGAAGGAAAACTAAAACTATGAACCAATAATGATATATGTAGCAAAACTGTTCTTCAAAAACTAAAGAGAGAACACGACTTTCCCAGACAAACAAAAGCTAAGGGAGTTCATTACCACTAGACCTGCCTCACAGGAAATCTAAAGGGAAGTCTTCTCTTTAGATTGAAAGGGAAATGAAAATGAAAACAAAAATGAAAGAATGCTAAATAGCAACACAGTAGCATAAAAAAGTATAAAAGTTGTTGGTGAAGGTAAGTATATAAACTAATAAAGAATACTATATTACTGTAATGATTGTGGGTAAGTCACTTTTAATTGTAGTATAAAGTTTTTAAAAAGTATTAACATAATTATAAAGTATGCCAATGAATATACAATATAAATAGATGTAAACTTTGACATGAATAACATAAGGGAGAAGAAGAAAACGTGTAATGTGTGCATAATTGAAGTTAAGTTGTTACTTGCTTAAGACAAGAGTGTTAGACTGTTAGATATTTTATGTAAGCCCCATGGTAGCTACAAAGGAAATACCTACAGAAGTTTAAAAAAAAAAAAAAGTGAAACAAATCAAAGCATAAACTAAACAAACAAACAAACAAAACAAACAAAACATAAAGGAAGAGAGCAAGAAATGAAAAGAGGAACAACAACAAAATCCCTACAAGGCAAACAGAAAACAATGAACAAAATGGCAACAGTAAATCATCCCCTATCAATAATTACTTGAAATATATTCATAGATTAAACTCCTCAATAAAAATACACAGAAAGACTGAATAGTTTAAGAAAAACATCCTATTATATGCTGTCTATAAGAGACTCACTTTAGATTTAAGGGTACACATAGACTGAAAGTGAAGAGATAAAAAAAGATATTCCATGCAAATTGTAACTTAGAAAAAGAAAAAATGCACGTGTGGCAATAGTAATATCAGACAAAATGAACTTTAAGTCAAAAAATGTCACTGAGACAATGAAGAATTTTATATAATTATGGAAGAATCAATACACCAGGAAAATATAACAATTATAAATATATATGCATTCAACATCAGAGTACCTAAATATGTAAAGCAAACACTGATGGAACTGATGGGAGAAACAGACAAAAATACAGTAATAGATTACTTCGATACTCTACTTTCAATTATGGATAGAAAAATCAGAGAAAGAAATCAAAAAACAAATAGCAGACTTGAACAACTCTATGGAACAAATGGACCTAATAGATATACAGAATATTCAACCCAGTAACAGTACAATACACATTCTTTTCAAAAGTACATGTAACATTCTTCAAGGTAGGTCACATGTTAGGTCATAAAATAGAGCTTATCAAATTTAAGAAGATTAAAATCATACCAAGTATTTTTTTCTGTTCACAATGGAATGAAACTAGAAATCAATAGCATAAAGGAAACCTGGAAAGTTAAAAAATATATGGAAATTAAAAAAACACACTCTTAAACAACCAGTGGGTCAAAGAAGAAATCAAAAGGGAAATTGGAAATTATCTTGAAACAAACAAAACCACAACATACCAAAATATGTAGGATGCAGCAAAGGCAGTACTAAGAAGGAAATTTATAAGCTCAGCTATTACAGAAAACGGTATGGAGGTTTGACAAAAAATTAAAAATGGAAGTACCATATGATCCAGCAATCCCACTTCTGGGTAGAGGAACTGAAATCAGTATTTTGAAGAAATATCTGCACTCTCATGTTCATTCTGGCATTATTCACAAAAGTCAAGATATGGACTCAACCTAAGAGTCCATCAATAGATGACTGAATAAAGAAAATGTGATATATATACATAATGGAATACTATTCTACCTTAAAAAAGAAATAAATGCTGTCATTTGTGACAACATAGATGGAACTGGAGGACACTATGTAAGTGAAATAAGCCAGACACAGAAAGACAAAAACTCTGTTCTCACTTATACGTGGAAGCTAGAACAATCAAACTCATAGAAACAGAGAGTAAAATTGTGGTTATCAGAGGTTGAGATAGGAGAGAATGGGGAGATGCTGGCCAAAGGGTAGAAAGATGCAGTTAGATAAAAGGAATGAGTTTTTGAGGTCTTCTGCCCAGCATGCTGACCATGGTTGACAATAATGTATTGTATATTTCAAAATTGAAGAGAGTAAATTTCAACTGTCTCACCACAAAAAATGATGGCTAAATGAGGTGATAGATATGTTAATTAGCTTGATTTAATCATTCCTCATTTTATTAATATATCAAAACATCACACTGTACACCTGAAATATATACAATTATGACTGGCCAATTAAAAATATTAATAAAAAGAGAAATTTATAGTGATAAATTATAGTGATAATTTATAGTGATACTAAAAAAGAAGAAAGATCTAAAATGAAAAACCTAACTTTATATCTCAGGAACTAGGAAAAGAACAAACTAGCCCAAAAGTAGTGGAGGAAGGAATAATAAAGACTAAAGAAGAAATAAAAGAACTAGTGAATATAAAATCAAAGAAGCTAAGAGGTGAGGCCAGATGCAGTGGCTCACTCTTATAATCCCAGCACCTTGGGAGGCCAAGGCAGGAGAATTGTTTGAGGCCAGAAGTTCAAGACCAGCCTGGACTACACAGAGAAACCCCACCTCTACAAAAAAATTTAGAAAACAGCACATGCTTGTAGTCCCAGCAACTTGGGAGCTGAGTTTGAAGGACTGCTTGAGCCTTGTCCTGTCTGCAGCCAGGCCAGCAGAGTGAGTCTCTGTAAAACAAACAAACAAACAAACAAACAAAGAAACTAAGAGGTGTTTATTTTTCAGAAAAAAAATTCCAAAATTGATAAAACTTTAGCTAGACTAATAAATAAATAAAATCAGAAATGAAAAAGGAGACATTACAACTGATGTAACAAAAATTTAAAAGATCATAAAGACAACAATGTACCAATAAATTGGATAACCTAGAATAAATGGATAAATCCTTAGAAACATACAACCTACCAAGACTGAATCACAAAGAAAAACTGAACAGACTAATATTGACTAAAGAAATTGAATCAGGAATCAAAAACCTCCCAGCAAAGAAAAGCCCAGGGCTAGAGGCTTCACTGAAGAATTCTCCCAAATATTTAAAGAATTAATGCTTTTTAAATTGTGTCTATTTGATTCTTCTCTCTTTTCTT